CTCCACCCACAGCCGTCTGCAGACAGCCGCTGCCAATTTGGCGCGAACGGCATCACATGATGAATAGCGAAATCTGTTTATCAGAAGTGTGGCCGTTCCCGCCAAAACGGCCGCATAGCTTCGGGCACCTCTTCCCCGGGGTGGGGAGGAGGGGGGAGGGAACATCTACCACTCCCCTTTATAAAATTATTATAAGAGCAGAAATTATAATGGGATAATGATAGTAATAATAAATAATAATATTAATAATAGTAACAATAACAATAATAGTAATAATATTATTTTTAACAACAATAATAATGATTAATAATAATGGCATTGTTATTAACAATGATAATTACAAAAATAACAATAATAAGGTCTTATTTTTATCTTATTATTATTTTATATTTATTATTATTATTTTTATTTATTATTAATAAATTATTATTACCAATAATAATAAGTTATTAATGGTAGTAAGTATAACAATGAATAATAACAGCAATAATTGGTAGCAGTAAAAAAAGTATCAGTGATGGTAATAATAGTATTATTTTTAACAGTAATAAGAATAATAATTAATAGTAATAACAAAAATGACAACAACAATAAAAATATTAGTAATAGTAATAAATCTTAAGTCGAAATCTTGATTCGCTTTTACAAATTATATTGCCGATAGCATTCATTTTCTCACTTCTATTATGTCGCAATTTTTATTTTTTAGACGATGCAATAAAAAAGGAGCAGCGTAAGGGCTATCTGTTTTTCACGGAAGCACAAAAGGTTTGAGCTGGAGATGCAAATTATCAAAGATTGCATGACCAAAAACACAATCATTACTTGATGACTTCGAAGAAAGTGAAGAGATCTGTTCACAAGAAAAAAATCTCCGCTTGCGGGCTGAAAATACCCTGCAAAGCGATGAAGCAAAAGATAATTTGCAGTGACAATGAAACATTTTTAAATTTTTTTTTGTTTTTGTGAAGCAGCCGCTGCTGGTACATATTTCGGTGCACAACAGGTGGTGACCGACGAGAGATGGAAATAATAGACCAACAGGATTGTACACAGGCGTCATGTGTAAGGTGATATTTTATGGTGCAAACTGCCTTTATCCTTTAGATATACTCGGGTGATATATTTCGATGAAATTGAGCTCAAAATCTTAAGCAAAAGTACCAAGTGGTCACTAGCACCATAAACCAATGCAAGCTTATCACGGAAAAAAATCTTAACAAATCGTAAAAAGGACTGGTCACTACAGTGACAAGATCGGCTTATGGAACTATAGCCTGAGCTACGGTCATTTCTTGAGACGCTTTAGCCTGAGATACTAATTCAAGCTCGCCAGCACTAAAGATCAGTATTTCTAAAATAAGAGCATGTTATTGCAATTTTGGTTGTTAAAATTTAATTTAAAACATAATTTCACTGAATAATCCCCCTCTCCGCACAAATTTTCATAGCAAATCAGCATCCGCTGGACGGAACTGCACAAAATGCATGCCACTCCAGCTACCTTGATGCAGGCCACTATTTATTTAACATATTTTTTGTATTTTGTATAACAACTCATTTTTAATATCTTTATTTACAAGCCACTTAATTTTTTGAAGAACCGATCCTCTACTGGCACTAAATGGGCTAATTTTTGTGTGGAAGTTAATAAGCATCGGAAAGTGTAGCAATGCTGCTGGCAAGGTGCAGCGACAAGAGAAAAGAAGAAGTCCAGGATTTGTTTTTCTCCTGCATTCACCCTTTCATTCACCGGTGTTCAGCTCCGTTCAAATGTGCTTTGTGCTCTTTCAAATCCGGTTTGATTGTCGCCTTGCCTGGTCTCCAATTTGCTGGACACATCTGAAAAAATTTTAAGCTTGAAAAAGTTGCAGTCATTTAAATTATGATTCAAAATTTTTTGCTGGCTTCCTTCTGCCCTTTTTTTGGAATCCTCAACTGCAAATAACTGAGCGTAAAGAATTCAGAATGTCGGATTTAGTAGAGAGCAAACTTGCCCATGAAAAAAAAAAAGTAAATTAGTAGAGAGCAAACTTGTCCATGAACATCCGTATATTGTAGGGCTTGCACCAAACGAAGAGTCTCGTCCACCGATCGTCCCACCGGAAAATCATTGATTGTAACATGACGGATAATACCTTTCCCGTCGATAATGAATAGCCCTCTGCAAACAGTTTCTTAAGTTCGAGAAACAATTCTGTAAAAAAGAAAAAACAAACTCCGTAACAGCTACTGTGCGAAGCCTTACTGAATCGAATTCTGGAAGAAAAGTAAGAACCCCCTTAACTCCCTTCGTAATCATTCTCTGCTGAGAAATGAAGGCACTCGGAAGTAGCACGAATTGGTAGCAAGTGTCGAAAGCAGCTATTTACTGCTGGCAAGGCTGTCGATGGCTTCCTATCCCAGATTTTGCACTAAAGCAAACTGATTGCATTGTTACTTATGGTGTGCCTAAATTTTCCTAAAACTACCGGAATCAAATGTCACCGACTTGGAATCCTTGCTGAAACTTTTGTTGCACCTGCTTGAAACACGGACTGTACAAAATAATTCAAAAAGAATTATAAAGTAAACCTGTAAGCAACTCCTTCATCTTCGAATAGCATACCGTAATCTTTTGATATTTGCAAGGATGGATCCGCAAGAATGGGAAATTTGATTTCACCGAGACCGCCAGCTTTTCGGGGTAGAGAAAGCCATGCGAAATGTGTAAAATAAGAATCGGTCGATGCGGCCAGCAATTCGCATTTGTTTGCTTGGAAATCCTCATAACGATTCGAGAACGATATTATCTCTGTTGGACAAATGAACGAACTGCAATTTGTGAACTGAGCAAAAGACCTGTTATTTTGAAAACATCTGCAGAAATGCAAAAACGAGTATTCAAATTCGCGAGAGCACCAAAGCAGCCTATCAGTGAAGAATCTTTTGCAACATTCTCTGAAAATTTCAGCTCCCCAGCTTTCCTGGTTCCGGAGTTAGCCGTTCTCCCGCCAAAAAATTAAACAGGGCCGCACGTGATAACCACGCATGACTGGGGGCTGAATTTGGTAAATTTAAGTTGTAGACTAGAGGTAAAAGATGTATCAAGTCCGCTCTCCTGCGTATCTCCCGTACGTTCACTTTACTTTTCCCAAACCATCTTTTTATGTCTTATTAGTACCACGAACTGACCTCACTACGGAAAAATAAACTTATGAGTTATGAACTACAACAGTAAGAAATGTATGCGACTTAATGGACCGAAACATTTCTTACCGATTTTTTCAAAAAATTTTTTATAAAAATAAATTTTTCGAAAAATTTAAAAATTATGATTCTTTTCCATTTTCTCTTTTTCCTTTTTTCCTTAATTTTTTCCCCTTTTCTTTCTTTTTTTATGTTACATGCTCTTTCAAACAGAAGATGATAGCGTGACGCCTTTTTCTTAGCTGATATATATTTTTATGCAGATGCATTTATTAATGTGAATATTTTGATAGTTCAAATCTATATTCATGTTACTGTTTCTGCATACGTGTTTATTATGCTTTACTTTTATTCACTTATATCTACTCATGTGCCAAAATGCTTGAAGGCAGAGTTCATCGCTGTGTGGTTGAAATGTGGAACGATTTAGCTTGACAGTGTAGAAAAATTTGAGAGCAGGACTTGTTCTCTGAAAATCATAGCAAATCATCTTCCGCCAGTTCCATTCGACACGAATCGGTGGAGTCATTCTCAGTCTCTTGCGCATTGGGTTTGTTACCGCCTCGAATTTCACTTCAAAACAGACAAAGGATAAGGACATACAAGTCGCTGGGATAAAAGAATAAGACGAGATATTTGTCCTTGTAATCCGACAATGATACAGTCTTAAAATCGCTGTCCATTACAGCCGTGCCGGAGAATGGCGGTGCTAAATGTCCAATGAATGCCTTCTGGTGACCCTGCAATATCATTGCTTAATCTTGGTTAGTAATATAGCAAAATGAACTCAAACTGACCACCTTATCACTGTATTCACTAGACTTCCAGTTCCTCCTATTAGCGTTAATCATCTGTACTTTCCAGGATTTTGCCAGCTCATGTTTCATCATCGCGTTTCTTCCGGCCACTAATGCATTTAACGGTTCAAACGAATCCTCTCACCGAATTGCCGTTGTTCTCTGCATTCTTTTAGCTGCGCATGGGTCACTTTGTCTATCTGTTGTCTCTCATTTTTGCCACATGATCAGCTCAGCTGTTCTTCACGAATATAACACTAAACCGAAATCGCAGCACTTTGTTGAAAGCACGCTGCCGAACTTTAATATAAGTAGAAGAACATCAAATAAAACAAGTTTTCAAGAGTTCCTTTAGTTTTTTCGTTTAAACATAGTTTCGCCTCAGTTTTTAAAAACTTTTTAAAGTCGCTAATTTGAGCAGTTGCTGTTTCATTGCCACATTCACCAGTACAGCTCGAAATTTCCTCACTCTGTTTCATCTGAATTTCGCCGTCAAGGTTGGCGCAGATCTTCTTCCACCAGACCTTTCCAAGATCGTTTAATCTAAAAAAAAAAAAAAAAAAAACTGCTCCAAAAATAAGCAAAAAACTTACTCCAATTCGATACATGTTGTATTGAAGCATACGCGCTGTTTGTGATGGGCGGCAGTAGTAAACCTAACGACGACTTTTTTGTGTCAAACTTTTACAGCTTCTAATTATCCATAATGTTTGCCTAGCTTACACTTAATTCCTAGTCTGAAAATGAGTCAGCACTGCTCGTTAGTGTTTTTTTACGCTACTTTCACGTGGTTTCATCTAATCATTTGCCAGTCTCGATCCCTGTCATTACTAAATCATTAACTAAATTGTTTTGAAGCGTTTGAAAAACAAAAAACCGAAAGAGTGGCCGCTTTTTAAATCACCACAAACAAAAAACACGCGCATTCGCTAAGAAACTGTAACTTTATGTTCATGTTGCAAAAACAAAATTCGCTCATTAGCAGTGGAGTTTGTTTGCTGCGGCAAAAAATTGTCGATGAGTTCTCGTTTACGTAAAAGCCGATGGCATAGAGAAACATTTGAATGAATGTTATGATCGAAAGTCCCAAGAAGGAACCAGATTGACCGCCAATTTGCGAAATGAAACCAGAAACAGTCGTTGTCATATTGACCAATGAGCGATATAGCATCGGTAAAAGTAGATGAAAAAATTACCTGCTACAAAATTAACGAACGACGCCATGAAATGCAGTTTCAAACTATATGTATATAGCTGAAGCGTGAGAAAGCATCCCCGTAACATCACTAACACCAGATTCTCCACAGCGAACATCCAGACGGTTTCGATATTCGCCGTGATATTGCTAATAATTTGATAGTTGAAAAGACTATTGGCTTATCACTGTTTCATATTCGGAACGTTCTCCAATCGTTCAACCGGAAGCCGTGTCATTGACTTTGGTCTTGAGCTATGT